AAAATACTTATAAGAATAAATAAATTCTTATAACTACTTACTTGCTTGAAAAGTTTTTTTAGCTTATTATATCCTAAGAAACTCTTTGGTAGAGAAATTAATATTGTGAGGAAAACGTGCAAAAATTAATAATCAAGATTTTTTTTTATTGGTGGCTATTTATTTTTATGAAGCTGAAAACAATCAACAAAGGGGAAGAGAATTGTTACCATTCCAGAGTAAAAGAGAGAGAAATGTTTCCCACGATCTGCTAAAGAACTGACTGAAGTAAGAATGTTATTTTTTTACAAACCAGTGTTTTAAACAGAAGTAGAATGGCAAGGTAGTCACATCTGTACTGAAGACAACAAATTTAGTGTATTAACAAGACCTTTTGCATTTCTTTCTTGACTTCATCATTCAAGATTTTTTGTTACTGTGGCTTTTTTTTTGGTCAATGTCCCTTTTTTTCCTCTCTATTTTTTTGGTGTAATTACATGTGTGTAACTGTTATAATTTTAGAGATATCACAGGAAGCATCTGGAAGCATTCAGCTCTGGTGATACTGTAGGAAAGCATTTTGTGTGGTGCTGGAATGTACGTAGGGTGCAGGTCTGCTGTCTTCTACCTCAGCTGCTTGGAAAACCATTGGTACACTGCACTCATTTGTTCTTTCTATTGATGAATTGTAAGTTATTCATACTTGGAATCAGAAGTTAGAAAATTCATGTCAGATATTCTTTCACCCTTATTTTTCAGTGCATGACACGTGAAACAGGCAAGCAAAACTATCTCCAGTTTTAGTCTCTCTTTTTGGCAGTTCATTGTTACTGCACTATACTGCATTTCTTGCACACACACCTCTGCTTTCTCATCTGGCTGTACTTATCCCTCTCAAGCTCTTCCTACCATTACTTTCAGATTGGTTACTTCTCAGCTAAAAATCTTTGCATAATTCTTCTTTCTAAATGTTTGGAATATTGCTTATTTGGTTGAATTAGATGTATAGTACTTACGTTACAAACTCAAAGACAGTTCTGTTCTCTGTTAGCCAGAAAGGCATATCAGGTGGACTCAAAACCCTGCCAACATTTATACATATTAAAATTCAGGGTCATTACTCACAGAATTTGGGGATGTAACTAAGCTTTATCGGCTGTTGGTGTAGCGTGAGCTTTTATTTATGCCTTCTAGAAATGTAAGGCAGGGATATAAATGATAACCTTCCAACTGCTTTGGATTTTGTTTACTTGCTATGCTAGTTGATTATACTAACAGCAATGTCCTTTTAAGTGTTGACTTTCTACAAATATCTTCTAGCTTGTTAGCATGTTCCTCAGGTGCAAATGTAATTATGCCTTTTAAACACATTTAGATTTTTTTTTTCCTGTTTTTGATTCCAGACAGTATAATTTGCTTCCTGCTTATTAGCTCCTTTATTTAATATTCTTCAGCCTGAAACATTCCATGACAAATGCGTTGAAAGTGAGTTTTAATATATTTCAGAGACTTAATAGGTATTAATAGAGCAACAACACTCCCACTAATAAGCAAAAACTGGATCTGTAGCTTTACATCTTATCAATTACAGCCAGTGTAGTGAGAGCAAACCACTGAGAGATCATTTGAACATTAAAGAAATTGTGATTGCAATCAGGACATCTGCCAAAACTATATTCAAAGACATAAAAGGTCTTCTTCCAACACGCTTCTTTTGCTGCATGCATTTATACAACCCCTGATATCTTCATCTGTCAATACTTAATTGAATTAAGTATTTTAAAGTGTAGCCAGAAGGATAATTACAACAGGAATACTAGACAAAAATACAACAGAATATACTCACTCACTACAAGAAAGATATTGAGGCCATGCATTGTGTCCAGAGAAGGCCAATGAAGCTGTGAGGGGTCTGAAACACAAGTCTTACCAGAAGCTACTATGAGAGCTGGGATCGTTCTGTCTGGAGAAGAGGAGGCTCAGGGGAAACCTCCATGATCTCTACAACTGCCTGAAAGGAGACAGTGCCCAGGTGGGGGTCAACCTCTTTTCCTGTATAATTGGTGATAGGATGAGAGGGAGTGGCCTCAAGTTATGCTGGGGGAGATTCTGGTTGGCTATTGGATAAACTTTTTCTCAGAAGGAGTGGTAGTGCAAGGAATAGGCTGCTCATGGAGGTGGTGGTGTCACTGCACCTGGAGGTGTTTGATGAACGGGTAGGTGTGGCACTAAGGACATGGTTACTAGGCATGGTGGGGTGGGTTGACTTGATGATCTTAGTGGTCTTTTCCAACCTTAGTAATTCCATGATTCTGTTATTTTTTTGAATTCCCATGGAGGATTGTGTTGTGATTGTACCTCTTTTTGTAAATTCATTCTTTTTCTGCCAGTTTCGTAGGTGAGCTTTTAATGAGCACCTATAATGAACTAAATACAGGTTTTGCTATGTGATAGATGGCAGCAGAGGGGCAGTCTGGCAGAATGATGTCTGACATGAAAGCGCATAAGAAGCAAAGGTAAGAATATCTCCAGACAGAAAAAATAACACCTGCAGACCTTCATCGACTCTTTCTGAATATTTATAGAGATCAAACAGTGGATGTGAGCACAGTGAAGTAGTGGGTGGTGAAACACTATGAAACAATGAGTCACCTTCACTGTGCAGGCTCTTGTTTATCAACAAAAAAAAATGCACAAATTATGGTGGTGACTATGTTGAAAATTGGTGTTGAGAATTTGCTCTATCAAGTGGTTAGTGTGCTCTTTGTATCTGCTGTGTTTTCCAAGGAAATAAATGCAAAGAGGTGTTACTTTCAGAGCAACTTGTGTATTAGTTACAGCAATGATATTTATCTTTGCTCCTGTTCTGGCACAGTAGGATTGCTCATAAAGCATAAGTGACTCTGGGAACTTGTAAACGATCTACAGTCTTTCATTCAATTAAAAATTGCTTAACAATTTTGTACATAAACTCTAACAGAGTGGTTAATGTCAGAATATTTTAAATGCATTTTCTCTTTGTAGGAAATTGTCACACAGTTCTCAGTTCATCTAAGTACAGAGCCTATTTTACTGGTTGAGAGTATAAAAATTTATTAGGTCGTGGTCATTTCAAAGAAAAAGAGCTTAAAATATGATTGGTACTCTTAAGAAGTCAGAAATTTGTATGAATACTGAAGCTCAGGAAGCTAAAGGCAGATGAAAAGCAACATGTCATATTAAATGCTTCAGAACTCTTATGCCAAATGATTATTGATAAAATACTAAGATTGGAGCTCGAATTCATCAGATAAAATCACATTTGAGTAGTTATGGAGAAATAACCTGCTATGGCAAGTTGAAAGTAGAACTGTCATTAAGGGAAGTGCTTTATGGGTCTAAACAGCAATGATTTGTGTACACAATGAGTTGTGTAATGGTAGATGAAAGATATATCAAGAGGTGTGTGAAGATGCTTGTACTCAGTTGAGGAACCATGCTGAAAACTTGCTGGGCAGCAAGAGTGGGAGAACAGTTAGATATTAAAGAGAGTGACATTGACCAGAGAACAGGTTGTCAGCACAGTATCTTGGGATAAACGATATGTGAGAAATGGAAAAATCAATCAGAAGAAGGAAAAGAACAAGCTAAGGCAGAGTAAATGGAAATGTAGCAAAAAGTGACGACATGAATTGTGGCATAGAATTACAAGCTGCGGAAAGGGATTATAAGTAAACTCTGAAGCAGAGACACTACCCAACCAAGCAAGCATATCACCGTATTTGATACTGTGGATTTACAATATAACATAAAGTAATAGATTGAACCATTTTTCTCTACTTTGAATTCTGCAGTTTTTAAGATGTGTAAGCAGAAGCCCTAAGAAAATTAAGAAGCCACATCCAGAAGAACACAATCCATCAAATGCTATTTTTGTACTTTTTAAATTTGTACATGTGTTCTGGAACAGTAAATAAATATTTCCTGGTTAGAAAATGCTAAAAATGGTATGGGTAGATATTTTCAGAGTCAAGTTTTTGTAGTTTAATGATGAGAATTGGAAAGAAAGGAAAAGTAAGACATTAAAAGTCTTCAAACCACATAAGTCTATAGCAGCTGTGAAGAAAAACTGCACAGGAGATAAAATAGCATCACATGCTAACATAAAGGCTAAGAAACTGAATATCTTTCTGGAGAGCTTTAAACAAAACAGAAGCATCAGATTTGAGTCTTCCAGGCATTATTCTTACTAGTGCTAATTTTTGCTCCTATTGTTGTTTAATGTTTTTGAAGTTGTACGTTCATGCTACTGAGATGAGTTCAGCAAAATTACTGCAATTCAGAAATATTTTAACATACAAATTTTTTATCACACTGCGAATTATTCACAGTCCATTTAATTCAGTGTTCAGAGTGCAGCCTACTACAAATCTGATGGCTTTTTTTGGTGGCTACTTCAGTTAGACTTCCACTAAGACCTTGGCTACAGTCCAAAGTAAGTCTGTGTTGATAACATTTAAGCCCTGGTAGTATAAATAATCATCATGCAACAACTGATTCAATGCTCGAGTGAGAAGTTCATCCTTATGACATGTGTGTACAAGGAGAAAGAGGAAAGTCTTCTGCACATTCAGCAGAAAAAAAATCAGCATACCAGTAACTTGTTGCCTATATTGAATTTCACCTGCCTCAGAAGGTCTCTGTTCAGTAAAAATACTCCTCATCAGTTTAGGACTGTTTCCATGAAAACAGAACCTCTGGACCTGCAAGTTCTGTTTGCCAGGAGGCAATCAATGCTAGTCTGTTTGAAACTCTCTGACACAGGATTTGTTTTTTTTTCCAGTGTGCTTCCTACAAAAGTTTTCTTGCAGTGTAAAGCCTCTGCAATAGAGATAAGGCCAGACCCAAGCTGCTGAACAAATCAGAAAAGGCATTTTTTTCAGCAGGAAGAAAGTTATAGTTGTGAATTTTAATCCAGATCTGCATTTCTATCTGGAAGCTTGAATCTGTCTCTATTTTACATGCATTAAAAGTCACAATACCTGAAAAGATTAATATTTCTTCAGGACAAATGAGTTTTGGTGGTTTCTTTGCTTGGCTTTCCTTTGGAGAACAACTGACTGTAGCAGACTTTTGTAGCTTGCTCACCAGAAAGCTTTGCTTGGGTGTGTGACCCTGTCGACAACTGTCAAGAACATTGCTGCCATTTGTCAATGCCTTTGATGCTTCATTTCTGAATGTTTTGCTGTGAACTGGTTATTGAACTTTTGCTGCTGCCAAGAGATCAGTGCTCTTGAAACTGGTGACACAGACAGATGCCTGTCACCTGTTTGCACTGGGGAGCATAGAGCCTGGCAGGCTATGAATGATCTGAATGCTTAAATGAGCAGTGACAATCATAAAGAGCTGGCTGTGGCAGGCAGGATTGGGAGCTCTGGAGCATGTAAGGGCCTTTTCCTCTGGCAAAAACAAAACTCTGAAAGTGAGAAGCACTCTTTGTGCTGCAGTGGTACACAAGAGACTGATTCCTCCTATGTACTTTCATTATTACAATTAACATAAAATCATGTCTGTAACAAGATTAGCAGTTTATGTGTGCATGTGGCATCAATTTGCCAAGATCCACAAGTAAGCATTTATATTAGAAACTAATTGTTTTCATTTGAGAAGTCTGAAGAACTACTAGCAAAATTAATCATTTGGAATTTGACATAATCTATAGTAATTAGATTTAATAGTCAAGAGGATGGGTTGAACCCTCATCTGAGTGTTGCTTGCAGGTTAGGTGGTTTCCGTGAATCTGGCAATACTTGGTGTAGATACACCTTGTAGTACAGTCTGTATGTCTTCATTATTGAGACTGAAAGAATGGCATGAAAACCTTGGTTGGAAATCAGGACATAAGAGGGATGATGCACCTGGTGGTGCCATGGAACAAATGGGGTAGTGAACCACAGAGCATGGAAGCATTTGCATGATCTGTAGGTTGACCTGGGTTTTTAGACATGCTGCCTCCAAATTAGCTGCCTTAAGAGTGGCCTCAATAGAACTAGAATAATTGGGATGAAGTCAACTTTAATCCTGAAGGAGGCCCGCCTAGATCAGAGTTAGAACCCTGGGGAGATGGGAACTTCTCAGTAATTTTTGCACTTGTTCTATGGGTAAAAGGAGGTTCCCTTGGCATCCACTTAACACATTCTATAAGCTTTCCATTAGTTTGAGAAGTAACTAAGAATAGTATGTGCCAAGATAACAAGGTGAAAAATCAGGTTCTTTCAGTGAATTTATTAATTTTACTACAAGTATTGTTACTTCAGCTGTCACCATGGTATCTATATAATTTCCAGCAATATGTTAACATGTGTGAATAATCTGGCATGAAAGATTGTTTCCTTCTTTTCATCCCGAGAAAGAATAGAAAGAATAAATGGAAATGCAGTTTTTGTAAAAAAAAAAAAAAAAAAGTATACATAAAATATCATGTATCAATATAGAAATACAGATTATGTATTAGAATGTATCTGTATATACACATGTATAGATTTTCATCATTGCATTTCTGAGGATTTCTCAGGCTTTGAGAAGGAATTGTTGTTTAAGGAAATCATCAAGCACAATGAAAAATTAATGTATGAAACAAAGATGGCTTGACAGCAAATATCCAGTCATCTACATGACCAATATCCAGACTGAGGATATGGGCTAGATATTTTTTAAAGGAAAGTAGAAAAAAAGTGGGCTCTGCTTATGCAATGCAAACCAATTTAAGACTTTTGAACAGTATGGAATGAATACAGCTTTGCATTAATCTTGTGCCTGTTAGTGAAGAAGAGGTGTTTGTTAAGTATGGCAGTAAAACTTCGAAGAGAAAAGAACACTAGGCAGTACCAGTGGTCTAACACTTAAAGCTAATGTTTTTATCAAATGATTTTCTTTTTAATGATAACTCATTTTTACTTCCCAAGAGTATGGAAAATGTTAAATATGTGGATACAAAACTTCATGGTTGTCTGTTTAGGATATGAATGGGAAAACAAAGAATAACTGGTTGTATGAGTTTCCAGTGTGTGTATGTTTGTGACTGTGCACAACAGAGGTAAAACAGGAAGAGAAAAAGAATCTATATGTGTTGGAAAATGACCAAGATGAATAGGAGAACATGCCAGCTGCTTGTTTTGTTGCTGTGGGAATATCTGATATCCTGCAGTTCCCTAGAAAATTACCTGGCTTTTTTTTTTTTAATCAAATTTCATACAGCAAAACTGAAACTGAAGGACTACTGAGTGTAACAGGAATTCAAACCCAGTCATCTCCAACTCTCCTGCTACCAAATCCAGTTTTAGAAGACTGCCAGACATCAGAAAGACACAAACTATTTTCTATTTTTATTTTTTCTTTCCTAGAATATCCCTTCAAAGAAAACAGAATTTTATTTAAGGCACAAAATATTTCTTCTGTTTCCTAATGCTCTCTTCTGCCAGCAAAAAAGTACTGAAGGTGCAGATGTGTGAGCGAGTTTTCACATTTCAAGAGACGTTGGGTAGTTTCCCAATGTCCATTCTGTTCTACACTAAAACTTAAATTTTATGAAGTAGGTATTTATCTAAAATCTCTCTTGGACTCTATAAAATATGAGAGAATGGATTTCTGATTCCCAGAAATCTGATAGGCTCAGCTACCAAAGATGGAGCTTAGTCACTTGCCTTGAATAAGTCACTGACAGATGATGAATAGAACTGCCCAGTTTCAGAGTTTGATTTAGGACTTCTTGTGGAAAAAAGCCTGAACATGTGAAGCAAACATACAAGGAAATAGAAGGATAAATTAGAAAATCTAATATTTGTTTTTAATTAAAAACAGATTTAACCAAAAAATTACAACATTTCTGATAGGCCTGATTCATTGGCATTACATACTTCAAGCATACAAAATTGAGCATAGGTTCAGATGTATGACATGAAAAACATTTGTAAAAGAATTAACTGTAGTCCAGTGATGGCCGAACTTGTGCTTTATCTGCATGTGTTCTATAGTGACAGACATACATCATGCATATAGAAAAGGGCGATGCTGGCCTGGAGTCCTTGGAACAAACTTGGGTTTGTAGAAACAGGCTAGGCAGCAGAGCAGATGATATTTCCAAGATGGCTGGGAAAGTTACTTTTTGTGTCTGAAATACCCACATGTCTTGTGGCTCTTTGAAAGAAAATGGGAATCAATTCATCAGAAAATTTGTTTTTCCATGTTGCTTAATTTCTCACTTAGATAATGCATATTCTTAGCACTTCAGTTTGCATTTTACTAATTTTTCTCTTCCTGTACTTATCCATTTTCAGGGTAAGCTGGAAGATGCTTCTGTCAATAGTTTGCAAGATTAGTGTTTTATTTTGGAAGAGACCTAAAGTAATAATGATAAGTATGATAAGAGCAAGTTTCCAGGTAGCTGAGAAACTTCACCAGCCATTAATTATCAGCTTAATCTATTGTTCAGCTTTTTGCTCTTGTTGTCCACCTCCCATAGAAGAGTTACGCTAACTCTTCCCTCTGTCTCTCTCTTTTCAGCTCCTATATTTCTAGCTGTGGGGCACTGACAAAGAGACAGCCGAAAGCATGGTGGTGCTGAACACAGAAACTGCTTTCCCCTTCTTTTTGTCCAGAAACCAAGAGAGACACATGTCAACATCTGTACTGATCCCACATGTTCCAACCTCTGTTGGACAAAAAAAGGTAGGAAGTCAAAGCTATTATATGACTGCTGAACCGCTTTCCTGAAAAATGGGACTGAATGGGCTAGTGCTTGCTAGCTTGAAAAAGTGGTGGTGGGAAGGGGAATGAAAAGTTTCATTAAACAATTTCTGATGTGGAGGTGATGGACTAGCTGCAATTACTTTATGGCTGGCCATAAAGGAAAGCACTGAGGATGTGTGATGAATCTCCTCCTCCCCACATTCCCCTCCCTATCCCTTTCTCCCCTGGAATAGAGAAAGGAAGAGAGAAAGAGAGAAAGAAAGAGGGAAGTATTTATGCTTTCAAGAAGTTGTGGCTGCTATTGCTTGAGGAATGTAGCAGTGATGGAAAGTAAAGCAAGGTCTAGGAGAGCTGGCATGGGGCACAATTAACAGATGGCTCTCTGTCTTGATGGGCTGGATGCTGCTTTTAGTAGAGAAAGACACTAGCACAGATGTTAAAGACATGCTCCATGAAGAGGTTCTGTAGGCACCCAGTTAAGTCTATTTTTTGAGGGAGGAGACTAGGCTGGACAATTTTTTGGCTTACCCTAGTTAGATCATCCTTGTATCGTTAGGCAAGATGGTGTGGTAGACCACAGGACTTGTCCTCTTATGGAAAGCATTTCCCAGAAGATAGTTAAATCTTATTTTTAGTTATTAGTTCTGGCACAGTGAGCATATTTTCTATTGAATTCAACTCAGAACAGCATTTGTTTGTGAGAGGATATTGTCAAATCTCATAATGCAATTAGAATTGTATTAAGGTTGTATAATTCGTTGCCAGAACATGGAATCTGTAGAAAGTGTCAGCAGCAGGAAAAGGTTGTGATAGTGGTGACATGTCATCCTTTCTCCCTGCTGTCATTCCTTCTGTCTTTAAGTACTGGCATCTCAATTTTTTAGCATCACAAGACAAATATTAATTATTATTATAATTATAGTAAGAAACTGTGGATGTAACGTCTGGAGTCTGCCATATAATCAGTATTGCTCGGCATGTTCTCTGTATTGCTTGCATCATTATCTTTTTTTTAATAGCGTCTCTCATCTTTACTTGTGGTGATGATGTCATTGAATGGTTAAGCATCAAAACCCACTAATTATAGGACATAATGTGGAAAAACTCCCAGATAAATGTCAATCTCCATTTCACTATAAATAATGAGTAACCAGAAACTCAAAATATGTTTGATTCATTGTTTTTTTTCTGCCTCTTTTAGAGTCTGTTTAATTGGTTCCTGATAAATGCTTCAAACTTGGGAGACATGAATCAGTCAAATAGAAAGATCATGACTGGAGGGATGCCAGTTTGTCTGAAGATAATTGTCTAGTCTGCAAACAAATGTATTTGTGGGGTCATGAGTAGTAGTGGCACTCTAGTGATCTTTTCCATTTCAATGGACAAGTTAGAGAATTCAT